AGTAGAGGAAAACTTGATTGATAATTGCATAAACTCAATTGAAAATTACATATATCTAAAGTTTTATCGTTTCGATTGATATGAAATGTTAGTAATTTCTATCCAGCTTTCCTTATATCAAAGTGTAAAAAAAAGTCTTTTTTTATTAAACTTTTGTGAACCTTTTAAATAGTTGAAATATTTCTATTTATCTTTTCAATTCACAATATTTATGCTGTTTTTACTTAATGAGATCATATATTTAGTTTATATTACATAATATGCTAGCAGCATTGAAAAAAAAATGTTCTACTTTTGTTTACGAATGATAAAAAAAAGGAAGAATTCGAATCCCGAAAAAACAGATACGATTAGTTAAAATATTTTTCCCCCTTTTTACATTTTAAAAATTCATTTAGATTACCTTTTTAAAATTTTTTTGGTCTTTTTTTCTAAATTATTTTTCATGAAGGTCAAAATGGATTAAAATCTATATATAGCTAGAAAAGAATTATTTTTGAAAGAACAGTAATGACAGTGAATTATCTTTCGCCGTTTAACTCTACAAAAAATGCAGCTGTCGCCTTAATAGTCTGCTCCTATACCTTTATTTGCAACTTTCATAAGCAATTTAATGTAACTAACATGCTTTTTTTAAACAAGATTTTATAGGCTTAAAAATGTATTGTTTTATACATAAACGCAAATAATTCAATTATAAATTACATAAATATGCATACACAGGACAAAAAGGTATTAGTGATTGAATCTATTTAATTTTTTATAAAAAATTTAGGTTTACATATCAGAAGCAACAGGAATACTGAATAATACTACTACAAAAAATTAAGGTAGCAACTTATGGATATAAAAAAATCCAAATAGTGAATTACAAATAAATCTTGTATTGCTCAATCTATGAATGCTAAGCCATTCGAATGCAAAAAATTGGCAAGAAAAGCAACTTAACATCTAATATAGTTCCGATTTTATAGAACTCAAATAAAAGAACAAAAAAAAATGTTGTCACAATTAAAAATTACAATCTATCAATTTTCTTTGTTTGTTCTTTTTTGAATCATGCATTGCACCCACATTGTTATTCTTAGCACATGCAATAATAATGTAATTTTGAAGTTACGAATAAAATGAATAAGTTTAAAAACTTTTGTTTTTTTTATTGATTTTGTTTGGTTATAGGCTTATACTTTATTCATTAAATTTCAAAAGAATAAGCCAAAAATAAAATGAATATTTTATAACGAATATATAATGTTTTTTTTCTGAATATTTATATTAATCTATAAAAAAAATTACAAACGTTTTCTATTTGTCATGAATATATTATATAATACTATTTTCACGCAATATAAATGTTGCATTTCACTAATAGCAAAAAAAGATAAAAAACTGCAATCCTTATTTTTTTTATAATAAACAAGATACAATACCTTTTTTCATATAAACAACATAAAAAAATAGTAGTTCGATTATAAATTTAATCTTGTATAATACTCTATTTACGATTGCAACAAAAATTTTTACTTTACATTAGCAGTGAATTCTCTATGATGATACTTTCAAATATCTTCACACTTCTTTCTCCTTGTAAAGTATTTACGGTGCTTCCAGTGACCTCAATATAATGGTTGAACAAAGAAGCGGATCGAACCCAGTGATGTCTAAATTAAATGACGTAGTCAAAGACAGTAACCTGTAAAAATGCGTATTTATACGATGTGAAACATATTTAAATCTCTCCCTAAATACTCTTTTTACGCCACTCACATATAATCTCGAAAGTAATACGTTAGTAAGAAATTTTTATTCTGATTAAAATATGATATTAATTTGTTCATTAACTTTTTTTATGATAAAATTTAATTTTTTTATTAAAAATGCAAAATATGTTTTTATTTTTTTTTGTATTTAAAAATATATGGAAGTTTCTCGTATTCTTGTATATATTTTTATATTGTATTTATATAAAAAAAATCATTAGTCGAAAGTAAGATACATTAAACTATTAAAAAAAACTGAAAATATATCTATATTTTATTAATTGCAACGTGAAATATGAAAAAACACCAATTGAAAAAGTGGCTTACTTAAAAAAATGTTTAAAAAGGGTTTTTTTATGATTTCAAAATTATGTGGAGTGTATCTTATTATGAAATGGCAAAATTTTTTGAAGAAAAATATCAAGCTTTTAAAAAAATATAGATCAATAAAGTTTATTAATATATTTTCAAGCTTTAACTATGTAAAAATGTCGTTTATTGGTGTCAAATTAATTTAATTAATTAAGAAAAGCTAATTTATAACAAATTAATAAATAAGATTGAAATTTGAAAAACAGAAATATTAAAATATTGAATAATATTTTGTTAATAAAAAACATTTAATGTTTTTAGCAATGAATTTTTTTAATGATTATTAGGGTATTTAGTTGTTGAATATGTATTGGTTAAGAAAATAATAATATAATTGATCAAAACAATTATTATTATTATAATTAGATTGATTATAAGGCAAGTATGCCTTATAAGAAACTGCATAAAAAAAATAATCAACAAAATCAATTTTTTAAGACCAACTAAAATTATTCTCCCAATAAGTAAAAATATTAAATGTCAATTTTATACAAAACAACATAAATTGTGGTCATGATAAAAACTACTAATATAAAATCAAATTTTTAATTTTACGAAAATTTGTAAGCTATAATTTTGTTAAAAATAGGTTTAATAATTAAGATTTAATGGATCATGCTTTTTTAAAATAATGAAAAATATCAAATATTATTCTAAAATGATATTAAAAGATTTGTGGCTTTTTTGTACCTTCATATTCAACAAAAAATTGTTTTTTTCTATGTTATATTATCACTTATATGTTTTTTCTGCAAAATAATATTTTTTTTGTTTAGTATATTTAGATATTATAAGAAAATAGTTATTACTAATAAATATTCATGTTCTAACACAATACAACTTCTTAAAAAGTAAAAGGTTGTCTCTAAGCAAATAATATTAGTGATAATGTCCGAGACAATCAGTTATTTGCAAAAATTATCATATCTAGGTCTGGAACAATATGCTGGTCAATCAAATCCATAACTTTTAATGTTCAAGATAGATATTATTTTAGCAATAGCGTAAAAAATAAAGGAAATTGTGTTTTATCTATACCTTTGCAGATATATTTTGAATAACACTACCATAAAAAATGTTAACTACACATTTTTATATGCCAACATATTGTGGATAAAGTTATTTGAATATTTTTTTTGGTAACAGTTTATAAATTGATATTATTCTTAGTTTATTTTATTTGATCTTATTTGACACAATTCTATAGATTTTAAGTCAATTCAAATAACTATAATACAGTTTATTGAAATAGGCTTGTTTGATGATTTCTATCTATTTTTATTTACATTCTTTAAAAGCATATATGCTTTAATATCAATCTATTTTTAAAAATAATAATTCATTCGATCAATAGTAAAGTTTAGTTCTTAATTAATACAATTTCATTAATTAATATATTTCTGTAATCATCTTTAAAAACATAATTGATCACTTAAAAACATCTTTATTGATGTTAAATAAATATTTTCACAAAAATAAAATTATTAATGAATTAAGGAATTAATTCTTTACGTTATAACCTTTTAATCTAATTTGATAATTTGTTAAAAGATTACTTTCCTATTCAAATAAAATTGATTTGACACTAATAAACAACACAATTTGAAAAATTATTCTAAAACTATCAAAAATTGGTTTTTTAACAAAAAAAAACTTACATCATACATCATTTACATTTAGAAGTAAAATAAATTTGAGAAGATATTTAATTATCGCAATAATAATAGGACAGATGAAAATTTTTTAATTTATATTTAAAGAATAGCGTTTTTTCAAGTGGATACGCAAACATAATTCCAAAATGATTATAAATATACTATTATATGATTCCTTTTGCTTTTTTTATAGCAAAATTAGCCATATTTTTTTTTGAATTTCTCTTTTTCCAAGAAATTTGCCAACAACTATAAAAAATAAATTTCTTCCCAATGATGATAAGTCCCACCTGATTTATTAATGAACTTGAATAATTACTTTTATTGTTAAAAGTAAAAGAATTTAACGTCGATATTTTTATCATTTTGTGTTGCTCGTGTGTTTTTGAAACTATTTGTTTTACATTTCTTTTTTTTTAATGTTTTTTGATGCTATTTTTTTATTATCAATAAATGTTTTTCGCGAAAAATTAAATAGGTTTTCTTTGCATAAAAAAATTAATGTGGCTGAATTATCACACAACCAGTTAAGTGTTGCTTAGTATTGCAGTCTTTACTTTTAATTCATATAAAATAGATTATTAAAAAAGTTTTTTCTGTTGCAGTTTATATTTATTTTACTAAATAAATTGCTGTCGAAATTTTATTTCAGCATGATATTATTCATTTGATTGAAAAAAAGCAAATTTAAACCTAAAAAATTCTGCCAAGTTGCAAAAAATTCTATTCGACAACTTTTTAAGATGATTCTTAACTAAAATATGAAATCAAAAAAATTCAATAAATCTAAAATAATACAATTCATATGTTTCTGATACGTTCATTAACAAAATAAAATACAAAACATATTTATATCAATTCATTTCAACATATATACAACTATTCTTGGTAATCAAGAGGTTTATTTAACGCCTCGCATTATTTATTCACCAGAACTACTTATTAGCCTTTTACAATCAAATACAACATAATAAATATTATTTGTTACTCTAAGAGCATAAGAAATTGTTAATTACAAATGAAAAATTTTGTACTTTTAGATTGTTTTTTAATTACCCTTAAAAAATTTTGTTGTGTATTAATTTTCCAATGTATTTTCAATTGTTTTGTTAAATTTTGTTGCATTTTAGCATTTTCCAAAACTTTCAAATATTTCAATCATAGATAAAACAAAAAAACGATTAATTTCATAGAACAAAAAAAATATAAAAAATGCCGTGACCAGGATTCGAACCTGGCTTTTTGCGGCCACAACGCAGAGTCCTAACCACTAGACGATCACGGCCAAAAGTAACGTAAATTTATAATATGTACTAAAATTGCTATAATACGTTAAAATTTATAAATGAGTTTTTTACAAATAAGAATAGTATAAATTTCAGTTTAAAAAGTAAATTCTCAAATTAAATCAGTTATAGTAAAAAATATATTAAAGTTCATTCAATTCGTCCTCTTTTGGAAGTAAAAAAATTTTTTTATATTGCAAAAATTACAAAGAAAGTTTCAAAGCGTATTTTATTATCCATATATGTTGATTAGATGAAGCTAAAAGTTTTTTTAGTAGTATAAAAAAATAATTTCAAACTTGGGAAAACCCAAAAAAGGTTGGGTAATCAAATTAATTCGCATGATTCAATTTTTTATTAAATAAAAATATTTTATATAAAAAAGTTTTTATTTAAAATATTCATAAATTAAGGAATAATATTACAATTGTAAATATGATTATGTAATCATTAGATATTTTGTTTAAAAAAGAAATAAAAAGACGAAAAATTCTATATAATAGTATTGTTGTAGTAAAATAATTGTATTTTATCCTTTTAGTTCACCACAATAAACAAGTTAATCTTTTATGATATATCAAAACCGTTTAGCGCATAAACGGTATTATTACTAGAAATTCAAATATTTTTGTCGACATTTTACATTTTTTAAGTTTTAGCTATGAATATTTTTTAATTAAAAATATAAATTTGTTATAACTCGAATTCTTTATTTATAAAACTAAACAAAAATCGAGATTCTCACAATAGATTTATATAATACATCCCAAAAAAACAGAAAAAAATATAGTTCAACTATTTAATTTTATTTTTAACTACTTTTTTTTTGAAAATTATCCTTTTCGAAACCGATTTTCTTTTAGAAAAATGTTGCGATTCCAAACAAACCATTTTTACAAAACAGTGTAAAATTTTTCTTAAATTTGTTTATATTGTTGTTATTTCCTAATCATACATTAAACGGAATTCTTACTGTATCTTGACACAAAGATTTTATATATTTATGTCGAATATGTAATTTCTTTTTATTTTCGTAAAAATAATCGCTAATATTTTATATCAAATATTTTAAAAATCAAAATACAAATAAAATTTTTTATTAACAACTAAAAAAATTGCATTATCTTTAACAACTTAAATATAACACATTTTATCCTCAGATACGATACAAAAAATCGCCTTTTTCAAATATCAAGATTTTTTGGAGAAAAATTTTAACTTTAAGCATTATATTCATATTTAAATAAACACCGACCAAATTGTGAAAAAATATTTCAACAATATATTTATAAAATTGCAAAAGAACAGAAAATTATATTATCATGCTTTGATAAAAACATAGAATATAAATGTATTATCAAAAAGTGAATAAAGTTGAAGTATTTTGGAATAATGATTAGAATTTTGGATAGTATATTTTTAAATTATGATTTTTTATTGTTTTTGGCTGCTGAATCTAGATAAAATTTTTTTATTATACGTGCTGCAACTGTAGCGCTTGGTTTTGAACTAATAGAACTTTTGAAAGATTTAAGAAGTTTTGTTGTACCATTTTTTTTCGGTAATATTTAATTATGCAATTTAAAGTAGATTTAGAAAAAGAAAAGTAATATAGCTTTCTAGTAAATCAGAATGCAATCGCATATCATTAATACAGAAGAAATTATCCTAATGCGCTTAAAACGTTTAACATTCTCTGGTAGAAAACATTTTTACATTTTTTAAAGAAAACATGTTTATGCGGTAAAATAAAGAAATCTGGTTATATCGCGGAAAAAAATAAAAAAATAAAACATAATATCAATACCGAAAATTTTTATTGTGAAACAATATCAGCTTATTTTCTTGTGGTGGTATTTCTAATGTCTGTGAAAATTATAAAAGACATTTTTTATATCCAAAATCAAGCAACTTATACTTTATATGTTTAATTTTGTTTTAATTTTTCTAAGCAATAAAAAACTGATTTAAATAAATCTTAAAACAATATTGACAGTTTGCAGAGAATCAAAAGAAATGTATTTTACCTGTGGCGTAATTTTTTATTCAAACTTTCGGCAATATATTGGATCTAGAAAAAATTTTATATATAAATTGTCAGATATTTTAAATAATATAATTTACAAAGTTGCAATTTAATTTTAACTTTTTAATAAACTTATTTATACTGTAAAAATATACTTTTTAATTATATTTTATCACCTTTTTCCCTTATTTCTTTCATAAAACTTTTTTTACTTACAATCATTATTAATATTTGTAAACGGAGTAGTTTACTCATTCAATGTGTTAGAAATGGCACAATTTTAGAAAAACATTTCGTAATGAATGTTTTTTTGTAATTTGTTTGTATTTACAAAGCATACATGGAAATTTTTATATAAACATATTATTTAATAAAGATCTGTATTGTTAATTATACTTAAAGAATGTAAATAGAAAATCGTATGCAAATTTCTAAAAAAACCAATTGTGTCTTATTGAAAAACACAAACACTTCTAGCAATAGATGCGACTTAATCAAGTTTTTTGTATGTGAAAAAAATTCTAGAAAATATTTTGTTGAAATCATTACAATTAAAAAAAGCTCGACCTTTACCAAATATGTCTTTTATATATAGTAATAGAATTTTCAAGAATTATTTGAATGAAAAATGTTCTCGTATGTTTTTGAAAATTCGAAAGCCGACGGCGAAAGAGTATCAGTGGGTAAATATTTCTATCAACGTTCTATATTAAAAGAAAATTTTATTAAGAGTTGAAGCCCAAGTTTTTACTACAGAATTCAATAAAAAAATGTTTTTTTTCAGCAATAAAATAAGAATTTTATATTAAAAAATTGTGCAAATATATATATTCTTACATATAATACATACGATTTTCATATAAAAATATGCTTTACTGTTAAAACATTTAATAACATTCAGTGTTTTTAAATGCATATTTTTATTCTTTATCATTCCTTTTTTGATGTCATTTCTGTTTAAATAAGACCATTACTGTTTGAATAAATCTTAAAAAAACTAATTCGAACATCCACATTTTACAACACTTATTTAATTTGCAAATTCTTATATAGCATTGAAAAATATAAAATTAAAGTAATAAAATCTTTATAATAACTTATCAATCGAATATTTTAAAATTTTTTTGAAAAATAAGAAATTATTATAATTATAAACATCTAAGTACAAAAATTATAACCCAATAATGTAAATCAAGTATTACAGAAAAAAAACTTTCTTTTTTGCGATGAAATATAT